GCTCTTTTGCTTTTTCCTCCAACTCTTTGGTGATTGCCCTCTCGACAAAAGCACTAACGTTTTTGCCACTACATTCCTCTTTTAGTTTCTCATACAAATAAGGATTAATGCTAACTCCAAGGACTTTTCTTACTTTTAACTTTTCCATAAATATATTTTATAGTGTTATAAGATATAAAGTTATAATATTGTTTATATTTTTAACCTAAGCTAATAAAATTAGGAAATTATAAGGGACAATTAGCCAAAGAACAATATTGAGTTAAAAAATAAAAATTTCAAAGAGCAAAAATAGTTTAAATTTATCTTCACTTTGCTTTGGAAAAGGAAATTTTGTAATAACTATCCTCATTTGTCCATTTTATATAAGTGTCCAACTTCAATTCTAGACTCCATTTTGGCTACCCGAGACTTAATATAATAACTATTTATTTCATTTCTCTTGTCGTTGATCTGTTCGCCGAAAGCCAAATTATCAAGTTTATTTTTGTTCTTTCTTAATTCAGTAATAAAATCAAATGTTCTTTCCAAATAACCTTTTTTTTTATCAGTTAACTCAGAATAATCAAGACCCAAAACACACCGATTGGCAAAATGTTCACAATTATTAGCTTTTTCTAGCAATTGACCAGTTACTTCATCTAATTTGTCTTTTATTATAAGTTCACCAAACCCAATTTCTTTATCAAAATATTTACCCTCGATACATTTAGCAATATGTTCAATTATTAATTCTGGTTTTTTAAAGGCAATCACTGGATGATAAACAATCATTTTTTTTTCAATACCCTTTGTAGAAAAATCAAGAAATTTTTCCCAGTTGTCAATTTTGATTACTCCATGTCCAACACTTTTGCTGTCATTACTGTCAAAATAAGCATGGCAAACTTTCTTATGACCTAGGTACACTCCAGCATGAACCATGCAAATTTTACTATTTTCTTTCTTATTATTTTTGCGAAGACTAAACAACCTCACAATATCTAATGGTTCGATGTAGATATCAGGATTTTCTTTTGCTAAATCAAAATTTAAAGTAATTATTTTTACTTCTCCATTTTCAAACCTACAATGTTTATCACAATTTTCAAATTCAAAGTTATCATTGTATAAAATCTTTAAATTTAAAGATTCGAAATTATTATACTTGTAAAGAATTGGATGTTCATATTTTAACTTTGCTTCTATTTCTGAAACTTTTTTTATCATGCTACTTCAACATTATTACTAAGGTTATTTCTTTGGCATGTACATAAATAAACAATCAACTAACTCAGCTTCTTGGGATTGGCAACCAAAGTCAATTCATGATTTACAAACTTCATAATCAAAACCTCTATCTTCTCACTCTTTTTGTAATTTGGGAGTGAAATCTAAATGCATTTCTTTTCGGTCTACCATAATACTTAATTTTTAGTTAGATAATAATCAGCTGGATTGTTCGCTTGTTCTGCTATGGTTTGAATATTGTATACGCAACTTGTGCTACTGCTACTTCGGCGGCTTTTGCTGTGTGTATGGCGGCAAGTTAGAAAAGAGTTAGTTGGTCATTAAGTGATGCTTGCTTTTTCTGCTGCTACAGAAAATTTTTCTTTGACCGAGACTTGACTGGTAGCAAAGTTAGTGAGGAGAAAGTTTGAAGATTTAGATTTCGGTGGTGGAGGTTTTTAGTTGGTTAGATAAAGTGCCGATTTCTTGTTTATATTTCTGTTTTTGTTGGTAGAGGAGATAGGAGA